GTGTATTATTGACATGTCAAAGTCTAGACCAGGGATTCTCAAATCTGGCCCACGAGATCCACTTTCCTGCAGAGTTTAGCTCTAACCCTAATCAAACACACCTGAGCATGCTAATCAATGTCTTCAGGATCATTAGAAAATCACAGGTAGCTGAGTTTGATCAGGGTTGGAGCTAAACTCTGCAGCGCATTGGACCTCCAGGGCGAGATTTGAGGAACCCTGGTCTAGACCCTGAATATAAGACGACCGCATTTTTTCAGATGTATTTCCAAGAAAAAAACATTGTCTTATATTCGGGTAAATACGGTAATTACATTTGGCCATTTAAACTAGGAAATAATCTGTTTTGGTTAGGACCCTTTCTTAACTAGAAAGCACACGACTCCTCAGATTTCTGAGCCATTTTGAATTCAACTTCCAAAAGACGAAAAAAAAAAAAAAAGGTTTTGTTTGTTATGTGATTCTTGCAGATCCAAGACGTTTTGTGTTGGGCTGTTGGGGGAATCAGACCAAAATTTTACAAAATAGAAATTTGTCAATTTATATTTTTGGCCAAACTCAACAACAGAGAACAGCCTCCTTTCTTAAAAAGGCATTATTGGCTCCTTGAAGAACTTTTAACATACATGGAAACTTTCCACAGAACAAAAGGTACTTTATAGTGGAAAATGGTTCTTTAGATGATTAAAATGCTGATAAAAGCTGATGAAAACATCAATAATGCACAATTACTAAACTATCTTGACTCCAGTCCATCAATGAACTTCTTGTGAAGTGAAAAGCTGCGCGTTTGTAAGAAACAAATCCATCACTAAGGTGTTTTAACTTCAAACCGTTGCTTCTGGCTAAAATACGAGTCCATAATCCATAATAGCGCTTCCTCCATTGCAAAGTCCATCCTCTGTTGAACTCTCACATCAAAATCTACCCTACATATTTGTTTAGAGCTGTTTTGGCTTGTTAATGGTGCTTGATCTGTGCAGATTTCTCTCCTGATTCAGATGAGAGGACTTTTTCACTGGAGGAAGAGTTATGGATTATCAATTATGTAGAATTTAGTATGGATGCTAAAAGGACATGTCCCTACCAATATCCAGTGACTACTGAATCAATACTATCAATAATTTTGATCAAACAATTAAATATGTGTATGTAACCACTGTTGTAATTTCGGCTGTATCTGAAATAGGTCACACCATTGATATTACCTGAGAAGTTCAAGTAAATACGCTAGAAAACCACACGCTTTCAAGGACCTGCATTTAATACATAGCTTAAGTGTTTAAAATACGTGCACAGTTGTGCTGAATGATAATGTTTACACGCTTTCATTTATGTTGTTAAACTGAATGTACAAAGCAAACAGCTGAAATATCCAAGGCCTATTGAAATTTTTTTTAATTAAATAAAGTTCAAAACAAAGAACATCATCAAAAATGTTTGGTCTAAAATTAGAATTACAGTAAAATAATACTTTATATTCATAAAAAGGTGAGACACTGTCTGAACTTACCCCGGGACTTTTTTCTCAAATTACCCCAATTCTGCCATTTTAACAAACTTGTATCGTCCAGCAGTTTAGAGCTAACATCATGCTAACAGTGTAGCCTCATATTATAACTTCCTAAAGCACAAACACACGTGTGATATTTCTTCTATTGTTCAGACACAAGAAGCATGAGTCCAAAAAAACTGTTTTTGAAACTCAAATGTAGTTACAAATTATCCCATGGGCCTCTCTCTATCACAGGGTGAGTAAAATAGACAACTCTTCATATATTTGTGGTCACATCACCAATTTCGTTTAAGGTTGTCTAGAAACAAGGGGTGGCTCAACTTACCCCGCTCTCCCCTGTATAATTACTCCTCCTGCTTGACCTCTACGGTGGTTGTCTACTGTTATGTCCCCACCGATGTCAAAATCAAACCTACGCCTCCCCCCCTTGTGGATTGTGGACTTGCATTTAGCCAGAAGCAATGGTTTAGTTGTTAAAATCATCTTAATAATGGATTTGTTTCTTACAGATATGCAGCCGTTCACTAAAATGTTCTTCACACTAAGAAAACAATGGAGGGGAACCAAAAATGGTTCTTTTATGGCATCGCTGTGAAAACAGCCTTTTGGAACCTTTATTTTTAAGAGTGTATAGGTGCAAAAAGCCCCTGATCTTATTGCTGTCACGACATTTTTTGTCAACATAATCCTTCCTATGTATGAACTAATTCATAATTGTTTTCAGGCATCAGTCGTGGCCAGCGATTGCAGGCGATTATTGGAACAGGAGCAACACTGCTTTTCTACAGATGGAGAGTGCTGGACACATCTTCACGCTTACCTGCGGAAATTAGACGAGTTTTCTCCCGAGCACTTCCAGGACGTGAGAGCGCAGGCCTGTTCCAGCTCCAGAGCTCTGCAGGTGTGGGACGCAGCCTGGATCCACTGCCAGGACGTCCGGCGACAGCTGGAGGAGAGACTGGCGCTTCTGGAAGGAGCTCAAACAGCCGGCGGACACCGCTCTGATTGGCCGGAGGTCATTCCAGGTGAGGATAGAGAAGAGTCTGTATAAGATAGGGCTGGCTGGTATGATATAGAAGCTTGAATAAAAAAATTAAAATGGTAATTGTGTCAGAAAAGTCAGAATTGCATGATGTAAACTTTTACATGACAACGTTGTAATATCACAATTTGGAATTTCTTTTAGAATTTCAAGAAAAATTCAAAAATACTGAGTAGGAAAGTCATGTTTTGCGATGTAAAATTTCTCATAATGTGAAATAAGATTTTGGTAATTTTTCTGAACCCAAGTACAAGATGATCATGGGATTGTGCCCGATCTGTCAGAGAGCAGGGCGAGTCGGGCGAGAGACAGCATTCATGGCACCGTCACCTGCTTCAACTTCAGATCCAACCACAAAACCAGAAGAGAGTCCAAAACAGCACAGACTGCGAAGGAAAATCCTGCAGACGGCAGCCAAAGAGGCAAAAACATTGGCAGAAAAGCTTCCCAAGAGCAGAAACCCGTCGCAGGATCGAGTACGGTGGGCTGTCAGTGGTTTCCTTGGCAGAACGCAGCCAGCAGAAACATCAGCAAGGGATCTGAGCTCCACATCACAGAGCCCGTCTTCTGCCAGAACCAGCGGTACGTAAACTCCCACCACAGCAGCTTCTGCTCTCAGACGGCCGGTGAAGAGACAGAGGGCGCTAGAGACGTCCCTGTGTTCACAGACAGCTGGGGAACTGATGGAGAAAACGCTGCACCCACCCCAGAAAGCCCAAACAGAACCATGTGAGTTACACTGTGTTCTTATGCCCGTTAATGACACTTAAAGACAATGTGAAATTAAAACTGATACTGTTTGCTTCAATGTACTTGAAAGGGTTTCTGGTTTTATGAACGATTCATCAGTGAGCATTATTCTAAAAAAAAATTATTCTTGAATCAAAATGCACTTTTTCTCTGCTTTTAAAACAACTTTTGATCCATTCAAATCCTAAATGATAAAGCCCTACATTATTTCCCATAGTCAATTCAGTTTTATCCGGAACTGTCATTTTTTATTAATTTATTCAAAATTTAAATAATTAAAAATACATTTGAAAATTACAATTTAAAAATGTTAAATCTAATTTAAATAAGTTAATGCAGATTTTCGTTATGTTGAACTTAAATGCACTGTGAATAACATCGCATGCTGTCTTTAACGATACAGATGAAACACTGTGAGATGCACTTTGTTTTCTAGATATTAGTTACTTTATGTGTACATACAGGACCACGCAAAAGTTTGGATTCTGTACGATTTACTCACCAAGGCCGCATTTATTTGATCAAAAACACAAGTCTCAATATTTTTCATGCTATTTCTTTCTTTGTCCAAAAGCTTTCACTGATGTCAGAAAGGTAAAGTTACAGTAAAAAGAGCTAATATAGGATTTTAAATGGCAGTACCATGTTAAAGCAGTGGTTTCAGAAGGTTAATTAACTACAATTGTAATTCTAATGGTAAACATATTCATATAAGATAAGCATAATAATAGATTTCTATAATAATTTCTGTAATTAAGATCGTAGTATTTCAATAGTGCCACGTATAAATAAAAGGTACTTTTTTTTTTAAATAAAGGCTGTCACAGCTGATATTTCATTATAGATTTATTTATTTATTTTAGAAATACATTCTTATCTTTATTTCCCGGCAGGAAGCTTCATCGCATCATGGAGGAGCTCCTGCTGACGGAGGTGGAGTACGTCCGCTCTCTCGGCTACATCTTGACTCACTACTTCCCCCTGCTGTCCAGACCGGACGTCCCGCAGGATCTGCGCGGTCAGCGTGGACGCATCTTCGGTAACCTGGAGAAACTGTACGCCTTCCACTGCCAGCACTTCCAGCAGGAACTGGAGGCCTGTCAGGCAAAACCGCTGAGAGTCGGACGCTGTTTCCTCAATCACGTAAGACAGCACTGTGTTTTGATCGTAGTTTCATTTTAAACAGAATATCATTTTAACCTTGCACAAAAATCTATTTAAACAGAGAGAGAGTTTTGGACTTTACGCCCTTTACAGCAAGAACAAACCCCAGTCTGATGCGCTAATCCAACACCACAGATACTTCAAGGTGAGGAACATTTGGTTTGTTATACACTATTATGCGTATAAATAATATAAAATCATATTAAAATTAATTATATTATATTTTATATATTTTTTTTATTATTTTACCATTTTTGTTTTTATATTTTTATATAAATATTAATATATTTCCATTTAATTAAATGTTTAAATAAAATATTGTTTAAAATATAAATATATAAAATATTTAAAAATAAAAAATGATATATATATATATATATATATTTAAACAATATAAAAATATTATACAGTATGTAATACTTTTATATAATGTTTTACAGAATTACTTATTTTACATGTGTATATTGTTAATTATCATTATTAATATAAATACATAAAATAACAACAGCATTCATGGCACCGTCACCTGCTTCAACTTCAGATCCAACCACAAAACCAGAAGAGAGTCCAAAACAGCACAGACTGCGAAGGAAAATCCTGCAGACGGCAGCCAAAGAGGCAAAAACATTGGCAGAAAAGCTTCCCAAGAGCAGAAACCCGTCGCAGGATCGAGTACGGTGGGCTGTCAGTGGTTTCCTTGGCAGAACGCAGCCAGCAGAAACATCAGCAAGGGATCTGAGCTCCACATCACAGAGCCCGTCTTCTGCCAGAACCAGCGGTACGTAAACTCCCACCACAGCAGCTTCTGCTCTCAGACGGCCGGTGAAGAGACAGAGGGCGCTAGAGACGTCCCTGTGTTCACAGACAGCTGGGGAACTGATGGAGAAAACGCTGCACCCACCCCAGAAAGCCCAAACAGAACCATGTGAGTTACACTGTGTTCTTATGCCCGTTAATGACACTTAAAGACAATGTGAAATTAAAACTGATACTGTTTGCTTCAATGTACTTGAAAGGGTTTCTGGTTTTATGAACGTTTCATCAGTGAGCATTATTCTAAAAAAAATTATTCTTTAATCAAAATGCACTTTTTCTCTGCTTTTAAAACAACTTTTGATCCATTCAAATCCTAAATGATAAAGCCCTACATTATTTCCCATAGTCAATTCAGTTTTATCCGGAACTGTCATTTTTTATTAATTTATTCAAAATTTAAATAATTAAAAATACATTTGAAAATTACAATTTAAAAATGTTAAATCTAATTTAAATAAGTTAATGCAGATTTTCGTTATGTTGAACTTAAATGCACTGTGAATAACATCGCATGCTGTCTTTAACGATACAGATGAAACACTGTGAGATGCACTTTGTTTTCTAGATATTAGTTACTTTATGTGTACATACAGGACCACGCAAAAGTTTGGATTCTGTACGATTTACTCACCAAGGCCGCATTTATTTGATCAAAAACACAAGTCTCAATATTTTTCATGCTATTTCTTTCTTTGTCCAAAAGCTTTCACTGATGTCAGAAAGGTAAAGTTACAGTAAAAAGAGCTAATATAGGATTTTAAATGGCAGTACCATGTTAAAGCAGTGGTTTCAGAAGGTTAATTAACTACAATTGTAATTCTAATGGTAAACATATTCATATAAGATAAGCATAATAATAGATTTCTATAATAATTTCTGTAATTAAGATCGTAGTATTTCAATAGTGCCACGTATAAATAAAAGGTACTTTTTTTAAATAAAGGCTGTCACAGCTGATATTTCATTATAGATTTATTTATTTATTTTAGAAATACATTCTTATCTTTATTTCCCGGCAGGAAGCTTCATCGCATCATGGAGGAGCTCCTGCTGACGGAGGTGGAGTACGTCCGCTCTCTCGGCTACATCTTGACTCACTAAATTTAAATAAGTTAATGCAGATTTTCGTTATGTTGAACTTAAATGCACTGTGAATAACATCGCATGCTGTCTTTAACGATACAGATGAAACACTGTGAGATGCACTTTGTTTTCTAGATATTAGTTACTTTATGTGTACATACAGGACCACGCAAAAGTTTGGATTCTGTACGATTTACTCACCAAGGCCGCATTTATTTGATCAAAAACACAAGTCTCAATATTTTTCATGCTATTTCTTTCTTTGTCCAAAAGCTTTCACTGATGTCAGAAAGGTAAAGTTACAGTAAAAAGAGCTAATATAGGATTTTAAAAGTGGCAGTACCATGTTAAAGCAGTGGTTTCAGAAGGTTAATTAACTACAATTGTAATTCTAATGGTAAACATATTCATATAAGATAAGCATAATAATAGATTTCTATAATAATTTCTGTAATTAAGATCGTAGTATTTCAATAGTGCCACGTATAAATAAAAGGTACTTTTTTTTTTAAATAAAGGCTGTCACAGCTGATATTTCATTATAGATTTATTTATTTATTTTAGAAATACATTCTTATCTTTATTTCCCGGCAGGAAGCTTCATCGCATCATGGAGGAGCTCCTGCTGACGGAGGTGGAGTACGTCCGCTCTCTCGGCTACATCTTGACTCACTACTTCCCCCTGCTGTCCAGACCGGACGTCCCGCAGGATCTGCGCGGTCAGCGCGGACGCATCTTCGGTAACCTGGAGAAACTGTACGCCTTCCACTGCCAGCACTTCCAGCAGGAACTGGAGGCCTGTCAGGCAAAACCGCTGAGAGTCGGACGCTGTTTCCTCAATCACGTAAGACAGCACTGTGTTTTGATCGTAGTTTCATTTTAAACAGAATATCATTTTAACCTTGCACAAAAATCTATTTAAACAGAGAGAGAGTTTTGGACTTTACGCCCTTTACAGCAAGAACAAACCCCAGTCTGATGCGCTAATCCAACACCACAGATACTTCAAGGTGAGGAACATTTGGTTTGTTATACACTATTATGCGTATAAATAATATAAAATCATATTAAAATTAATTATATTATATTTTATATATTTTTTTTATTATTTTACCATTTTTGTTTTTATATTTTTATATAAATATTAATATATTTCCATTTAATTAAATGTTTAAATAAAATATTGTTTAAAATATAAATATATAAAATATTTAAAAATAAAAAATGATATATATATATATATATATATTTAAACAATATAAAAATATTATACAGTATGTAATACTTTTATATAATGTTTTACAGAATTACTTATTTTACATGTGTATATTGTTAATTATCATTATTAATATAAATACATAAAATAACAATTTTTGAAAATATACATAAATATACAAATTCTACAATTATTTCTGCATCTCTTGCTATTTCTTCTGAGTTTAATTAACGTGAACGGGAATGAAATGAATCCTCTTTTGTTCCAGCGTAAGCAGATGGAGTTGGGTGACAGCATGGATCTCTCCTCGTACCTGCTGAAGCCGGTCCAGAGGATCAGTAAATACAGTCTGCTGCTGCAGGAGATCCTGGATGAATGTGTGCCGGATCAGAGCGGAGAACGAGAGGAGATCCAGGTTCCTTTTTTACTCACAATTTGTACAGTGTCCCAACTTTTTTGGAATTGGGTTTGTATATATTATTAATATAAATAAATAAATACAATATATGTATTTAATATTTTATATATAAAAATCCTACAATTATTTCTGCATCTGTTGCTATTTCTTCTGAGTTTAATTGAAGTGAATGGGAATGAAATCAAGCCTCTTTTCGTCCAGCGTAAGCAGATGGAGTTGGGTGACAGCATGGATCTCTCCTCGTACCTGCTGAAGCCGGTCCAGAGGATCAGTAAATACAGTCTGCTGCTGCAGGAGATCCTGGATGAATGTGTGCCGGATCAGAGCGGAGAACGAGAGGAGATCCAGGCGGCGGTAGAGGTGGTGCGATTCCAGCTGCGGCACGGGAATGACCTGCTCACCATGGACGCCATCCGCGACTGCGATGTTAGTCGTGACGCTTCAAGTTGGATTTGGAATAATCTGTAAAAAAAAACAAAAAACAATTCACTTTTTTTTTTTTCTTTGAAACAAGAATTTTGGTCTTTTTCTCACACATCTGAAACTGGTTTTCCAACTTTCATAAAAATCAATCTTTCTCAAATGCAGACTAATGATCTTCTAAATGTGAGGACATACAGTATACTAGTTGCTACGCCCCTAAAAAAAAGCCTAATTTGTAGCTGCTTTAGTTTTATTTAATAAACTAAAGCCCTTTTCAGTCATTACCTGAATTTTCCTTTACTTCTGACAGAAGTTGTAGGAATACTGAAAACAGCCAATCCCTTGGTGTCCAGCCTTCAAAGGGGCGTGGCTTTGCCACGACCAGATTCGACTGGCTCTGGCAGCAGCACATCAACCGCGGGCAGCCACTCATCATCCTCGTCTGGGCGGGGCTCCATGTCACCCAGCGTTTTCCAAGGAAAATGTTACGGTAGCAAAAACTCCTCCTTACTAATATAGGAAAATTAATAGTGTCTGTATAATAAAGGAAAGGCCTGAATAATATCTCTAAAAATCTCTCTCGCCGTCCTTTCTTTATAGATTCCTCTACAGAGAACACAGGTTTATTTAGCTGTGCTGATCATAATTGCCCCACAAGAAGGAGAGCATCTGTGTCGTCACTGCTTCACTCCAGACCTTCAGTGTGTCGGACATCTCCTGCTCATGTTCTTCACTATGGCTCGCCAGCCCTATCCAGGAAGAATCTCAGTCCACAAACAGATGCTCACGGCTCTCTCAAGGTTGAGAAATGAACGCACATCAGCTCTTCTGAAAACCCAGTGAGCTGCCTGTCTAGGCAACATTTTCAGGCAAAGTGATGTTGACTTATACCACACTAAAAAAGCTGAGTCCAATGTACTGTCTTAAAGGAACACTCCACTATTTTTTAAAATAGGCTCATTTTCCAACTCCCCTAGAGTTAAACAGTTGAGTTTTACCGTTTTCGAATCCATTCAGCCGATCTCCGGGTCTGGCGGTAGCACTTTTAGCTGTAGCTTAGCATAGATCATTGAATCTGATTCTCAAAAATGACCAAAGAGTTTCTATATTTTTCCTATTTAAAACTTGACTCTTCTGTAGTTACATCGTGTACTAAGACCGACGGAAAATTAAAAGTTGTGATTTTCTAGGTCGATATGGCTAGGAACTATACTCTCATTCCGGCGTAATAATGAAAAAAATCCCATAATGTACGATAATTTCGACATTTCAGAACGTGTTTTTTCCAAAGTCAACCTCATCAAAACAAAGCCATGAAATCGGCTCATTACAGATGCTCTAAATGGTGCACACCTCAGGACCCTCAACATCTGGCAACACGCAGGATTCTGATGACAGCGACTCAGACGTGAATCATACGCCTATGGCTCTATGATTTCCACGATGCGAAAAACACGGATGGAATTGCGGAATCCAGTCAACGGAATTGACTGTATAACGCGGAATGTCACGGAATTTGTCAAAAGTTTGGATGAATTAATCAGAGGAAGGTCATTACACTTAAATCGTGATTTGGACTAGTATCTGTAAATATTAAGCCGCAAAAAGGCTATTTAAATATAAATCCTGCATGTTCTGTGTCTGTCTGAATCATAGTCTATGGTCTGAATGAATGTCACGTGGTTTTGTTTACTACACACATACTGAAGTGCGCGTGACGCTCGCGGTGATTTCAGCATCTGCCTTCTCACTAAATCGGACATAAATACATGAACAAAATCCCCAAAACTGCTCAGTCAAAAATATATAGTTTCTGCCAGAAATGTATTACTATTGTTCAGTAGAATGTACGTAACTACTACTACTAAAATTATTAAGGAATAATCACAATATTTCTTCCATGTTTCAATTTTAATTGTAAATCCCCTTTGTTTGCCAAAAAATAACATTTGTTTAATTTTCATTAATTAAAAGATAAATTAAATTAATGTGTTATGCCTTCATTCGATAACCAGAAAAATTAAAATACACAATGCAGAATTTCTAAAGAAAAAAAAACATTTCATAAGGCTATAAATAAAAGTAGTTTTTATGCATTCAAATAATTAGACATATTAAAACACAGAATTTGGGAACAATAAACAAGGTGAAAAAAATAGAACATTTCATAAGACCATAAACATGTAATTTTTGTTAAACTATGTTGAATTGTATACGTTTCATTATTTAATTAGACGTGCTTTTGTTTAATAAAATTTAATTTAACCATTTAAAAAGGAGTCCAGAAAAATTTAAATGGAAAAAAAACAGAATCCAAAAATATTTACATTTGGAATTTAAAAAAATTAATGGAATTTGGGAAAAAATAAAACGTATTTCATAGGGCCCTAGCATAGTTATTTATTTATTGTGGTAATTTGAAGGTTGTGTCAA